TCAAGATACCTTACATCGGTGGGACAGAACGCCATGGTGGGATGCGATGATATCATGATCTGTCATGGATAAACTCACTAGTGGACGACACTCTCGTCAGATCATCCCGATTACAGGCATGGGTGGCATAGGTAAAACCACTCTTGCTAGAAGTGTTTATTCAAATCACAATATTATATTTCATTATTTAAAACATTATTATTGCTTATTATCAAAATCACAATTTCTTTTAACTATTAGAATGAAAATTATTTTATATTATTAAATTTAAATTTGATAATAAAAACAATTTAAGTAAAGAAAAAAGTATTGATATCACGTGCGTAGCACGTGAATCTTCTTAGTTTTTGAAAAAAAAAAAAAAACAAGTTTCATGGCACAACAATCCCGCGTCATACATAAAGATACGAAAGTTCCTCTTTCTCCATTTATGATGGGGAAAGTTAGTGATATCCTGTACGAAAGTTCCTCTTTCTCTTTTTTGATGTGGAACAATTTTCGTCCATTAGTCAGCCTATAAAAGCTGCTTGTAGCAAGAACTTTTCATGAACATTTTCAAAAGGAATTTATAGGTTTAGTATTGAAAAGATTCTTGCAATGGTTGTTTATGCATCTCTATGCATGTTATCAAATAGATACAACAACATCTTCACTCTCCCATTACGCTTCCCAAAACACAAATTGGACATCTTCTCAAAAATTTGTTGTTCTTGAAAGTTTTTCTTGAAAGCTATTCTGGTAATATAGATACGCTTGAGATGCGCATGTTTGTTGTTGTTCATGTTGCAGAGGATGCACTTGAGTCACTTGTCGTGGATCGAATTCATAAGGTGAAAACCAGTTTTGCCAATTGCTTTGGTAGCTGATGTAAGGCCTCAAGTCACAGGGAAGGCATTAGGTCCAATGACGGATTGTTGTAACAAAGCCTTGGTAAAGTGATACAAGAATTGGACTTGATCACGACTGAGGTGAAGGAGATTAGACAGAGCACTAGAATAATCCAGGTTGAAGGTTACTCAGTGCTTGCCGATTATGGTTCAAGATCCCTTACCTCAGTGGGACAGAACGCGATAGTGGGATGCGAAGATATCATGATCGATGTCATGGATAAGCTCACTAGTGGACGACACTCTCGTCAGATCATACCGATTACAGACATGGGCGGCATAGGTAAAACCACTCTTGCTAGAAGTGTTTATTCAAATCCTCTTATTTGTGAATTATTTTGATATCTGTGGATGGGCTACATTTTCTCAAGAGTTCAATTCTAAACGGTTTTTTTATAGAAGTCCTTCGGTGTTTAGAAACCATATGGAGTAAGGATAGCTTTGGCCAAATGAGCAAACAAGAGTCAGGAGTGAAATTATATAAAACCTTATTTGGTCAGAAGTATCTCACTGTAATGGATGACATATGGAATATTGAGGCTTGGGATAAAGTGAGAACATTCTTATCTGATAACAGTGACGAAAACGCAATCATCCTAATCACTAGGCTGGCATCCTTAGCTTTTCAGTTAGATGGCTCTAATGTCATCAAGATGTGTTTTCTAGACGAGGACAAAAGTTAGTATCTTCTCCGCAGAAATGTGTTTGGGGAAGACAATTGTCCTGTTGAACTGGAAGGAATTGGAAAGGAGATTGCAGCAAATTGCAAACGTCTATCATTGTCAATTGTAGTGATCGGAGGACTCATGTTGAAGTCTATCCGAACGCGAGAGTACTTGCAGCACATTGCAAAAAACTTTAGTTTGATCTTGAATTTTGAGGACAACAAACGCTATTTTAGAATTCTGCATTTGAGCTATAACCTTTTACCAGTTCATCTAAAGGCATGTTTTCTTTACATGGGAATATTCCTAGAAGACAATGTAATAAATGTCTCCCTACTCATCAAGTTATGGATTGCCGAAGGATTTTTTAAACCAATTAGTGGAAAAAACTTGGAAGTGACAGGTCAAAAGTACTTAGCGGACCTTGTAAACAGGAATCTCGTTCTAATTCATCAGCTGGGCTCTTCTGGAAGTATAAAGTATTGCACCATTCATGACCTT